CCCTCCGGAGCCACAAATCATTGGAAAAACACCGTGTTTCGCGACTTTCCCACCTTTTCGCACATCTGAATCTTCTGTCTTCTTACTCTTTCTCTTCTACTCTTCTTTCTTCTAATCTTTCTCTTCTCTCTGCCTCTTCCCTGCTCTGCTTTTCATCTCTCCATATTGTCGGAAGTTTGACTTCGATTCTAAACTTCCTTCGATAACTACCTCATCCGTTCGCTGCATGATTCTGGCTTGGGCCTCACCCTGTTCCTTTGTCTCTTCAAACGGATTCGGTTCTTGTGCTTGTCCATGGTAGTAGTGTTGTTGGTGCAAATAATGATTTTGGTGGTACTATTGTTGTTGGCTCCCTCCTCATGCTTCTTCTCTTTTTCTTGTGTGGTGGTAGCCGTTCCCATTACTGTCGCTTATGGCGGTGATGGTGGCGGCACTGGGTGGTGGTGGTGGTTGTGGTGGTGGGCGGGCGGGCTGCGGCGTGGCGGGGGCGTGGGGCGGGCGGTTGGGGCGGTGGCGGGGGCGGGGTCTTTGGCGGCGGCAGCGGCGGCGGTGGCGCGGTGTGTGCGGTGCGGTGGCGGCGGTGGCGTGGCGGCGGTGGCGGTGGGCGGTGCGGTGGCGGTGGCGGTTGCGGTGGTGGGGTGGCGGTTGGGGCTGCGGCGGCCCGCCCCCGGCCGGCGGTGGCGGTGGCGGTGGGGTTGGCGTTGGTGGTGTGGGTGCGACAATGTTGATTTTGGCCCTCATAACCAGCACGCTTTTTGCTGATAAATTTGCCTATAATGATTCCAACAGTGGTGTTGGGTGATTTTCAGGTTCCGCGCGACACGACCGAACTGCTGCAATACGATCACGAAGGCTCAGGTCCATTGGGGCGCGGAGTTACTTCTGGCCAATCGCGAAATGAAGGCAGCGGCTCAGCACAGCGGGTGGGGAATGGCAGAAAGAAATGGCTAAATCCAGAATGAATTCAAACGTAGGTTTGATTGCCTTCGTCCTTTTGGTCAGCGGGGTTCTGTTTCATATTGTGCCATTGCTTAATGATGGTCCGCAACAGCTATGATGTCGTCCTACAGATAGCATTCCGCACTTCGTCCATGGACTCCTCTGGGATCATCTGCACGAGCTTGGGCAAGTCCACGGTTAGTAGGGTCTCCAGCGCCTTCGGGGCAATCTGCTTTTGGATCTTGTGATGCACACGCTGGAGACAAAACATGACGGCACAGTCCGATCAGACAGTTCAAGCAAAAACCTGCTCGAGTTTAAAG